TACCTCATATAATTTTATGGCCCACTTTATTGAACATAGGTATTCCAAGGATTCGATCGGAATCCAGGATATATCTGCCGTTAATATAACATTGTTCTGAACATGTCTCGATATTTTCTTATCAGTAGACATTATCGAGTGTTACACATTACTATGTATCTTCAAACCTTTTAAAATTAATAGAGTAATAAAAATGGCAATTGAATAAAACTAAGCATATATATTTTTTTATTATTATCTATAGAACGGAAAGCTCACAAAAGTAGAATAAATGTTCAAGGTTTAATTTTCACGATAGTATAAGCTAATTTACATTGTTAAGGTTGGTTAATTTTCATATACTTAAAGGCCGATATGTCCTATCGATACGCTTAAATAACTTCTGTATGAGTTAACTCGTTAATTAGTGATTTAATGTGTGGTTTGGCAACCGCAGACAATTAAGACGAATTCTTAACATCGAACGTGCGTCACTACTGATATATTGTCTCGAATAAAACAACTTACCCGTCCCTTTGGTAAATCCTCTCCAAAGTTTCCATTTTTAATCGAAATGTCGGAAAAACCTTGCTTATTGTTTGTTTACTTTTTGTTATAATTCAACTTTGACGCATGTAAAAGCTTCCGTATGCATATGCTTAAAAATATTACGAAATGACAATGAAAGTACAATTTTCACCGATTTTTTTAGAATAAGTTCCTAATCGTAATTACATATTGTTTTATTTTAAATTATCAATCTCCGTGGACAGTGACCAATTTGAACTGCTTTTACAAATAAACAAAATTATTTATTAGATTAGACATAGCTAATCTATTAAGTATTTCATCACAATCCTCGCTTTTATTTAATGTTTTAATTAAGTGACTTAAAAAACAATTTATTTCAACGTCAATTTCGTTAACATTGTTAATGGCTTATATTCATTGCATTCAAATTCTTTACTGTCTACTGTCACTAAAATAAAACACGTCGAATTGCATATGTACACATACTCCACTCATACTCCACAGATATTAAGACACAATTATTTATATCTATTTCTAAACTATGAAAGTCTGTTGAAATAATTGATGTCCAGATCGTAATGCAAGGACTTTAAAGTACGCGACGCAGCATTCACGCCCAGGATTCGATTTTAAACGAATAGTTTAGAGTATTAATTTATGACCACAGATTATAATTATCAGATATATACCCCGCCGGCACATCCGCAATGTGATACAGATACGTCATACAATTGTAGTTTAATTAAAACGGATATTGGCACTTAGTAATATTTCTGATTTATTAGCCGGTCAGTGGGTGGAGACTTGTCGAGAAAATCAATTACTATTCAATAACGTTACGGTCACACGTACACATGAATTACAGTATCCAAGATGACCAAAAACAAACTCGTTAAGGAACAGATAACTTTGATGTGCCACATAAATCAAAAAAGTTCGGGATCATTAGTGAAAAGTTATCTCGAATTTCTTGAATCTCGACCTTATGTCCCGAAATGTGATATTTTCTTCGAAAACTCGTCGCGGAGTTATGGAGTGGCAACACTTAATGACGCCAAAGACGAATCAATTTCTTGGCATTTTGAACTCGAAGCATCTTAATATCGGGATCGCGATGTGGATCCCGATATTAAGATGCTTCGAGTTCCCGTTCTCATGGGCCCCGATTGAAAAACTCGCCACTGTTAAAAGTTAATGAAGTTCTCGACGACGATGGACAGACAGACGGGAGATTTATTACTACGGTAATGACCGACGGTTAAATGTAAAAAAATACACAAAATACCTCGTGCGATTGGATTTAATTGCGCAAAGCGGCCTGCGTACGAGTCACGTACGATGAAAGAAACGTGGAATGCAAGGCAGCAATTCATAATACTGGCAATAACACGTTAAATGAAATAGTTTAATTAAACCTTCACTGAAACCTACCTGTGGGTATATTTGATAACATTCTTAAGGTAACGGAATAAACCTTATACACTGATTGTGTTTTGTTATTTCTTAAGTAAGTCTTAATGTAAATTTAGTTTGAAAAATACATACTAAAGTACTGCTGAAAACGACTTTACGAGCGGCGGAAACAAGAGAAGTTTAAATACACTTAAATATGTACCATATAATTCTTAGTATTTGCCGATAAACTTAAATTCCGGTAAACATATATTTGAAACGGGATCTGTGTGTAGTAATTTAACAAGGTCCGCTGATGACATTTGTAAAGAGCAGCTAATAAGAGGCATTTCTCTTGGCGGGCGTATCCGCGATTGTGCCGGGACGCTATGGCGTCTTGTAGGAGAGACGCACAATAGTCGCGGTGTCAAGCTTTGTTAACGTTCGGCTTACATGGACATGTGTTAATATTTATATGTTTTAGTCATAGCCCGAATTTACGGCATCTAATTAAATTTAGGTGATTTCTTAACAATAACGATCCACTCAGTTGCTTTTTATTAAACTCCTTCTTTGCCGCTATACCTACATATGTAAATCCTGTCTTCTTGTTTATAACTCTTGCTCACTTAATGAAATTATTAAATTAAATTACTAATTTTTTTCATAAGTTCACAATTAATTATTAACACAAACTCATAATATGGTTAGTTAACTTTGATATAAAATGTTTGGATTTTCGGAATACTAATTTACGACGTAAACGTAAAACAGAACGTACAGAACTGGGTAATATATTTACTCCAATTGTTGAATCAGGTCAAAATTGAAAATAATATTTCAACTGTGTAAACCCACTCTTATGCTTTCAGTGGGCAGCATGTGTCGTGATAGCGCGAAGCTCCGGGGAACCAGACTCCCTCATATCCCCCATCTCTTACCATACACCACATTCATTAGGTACGATTCAATGCTATTCAATACTGTTTTCTATACCCATTAAATTTAACAGTAGGTCATCATTATCTCCCTGCCCATATCCTACTAACGCGGGTTCGCATAGCTTTTAAAAACTCTAATGTTTTCGTCTAATTTTTACGACGGACGCTTGCTTGTCGCTACCCCTACTTGTAATTAAAATTATAGCTCAATAAGGGGCCAAATTTCTAGCGGAGCTAGACTAAAAAAAATGCAAATGGCAAAAATATTTACTATAAACTAAAACTACCGTACGATTTATGCAAGAAGTTATATAAAGCAGACTTGAATTTAAACCGACATTTATTGCGTTAGGCCGGGCTACAATTTTCGTTGCAAAGGAACGAATCGGGCGTTCATAAACCACTCCGTGTAATAATATCCAAAAGAGGTACAATCCGATTGTAGACAATGAGGTGTGTCATGGACTTAGCTTAATAGCCCACTTAATCCGCTAGCCGAGTACAAAGGCAACACGCTGTGCCGCGATCGGCCGCGCGTAATGATAGTTTCACACGTGGGTACAACAGTAAAGTACTCCAGTAGGACAGTTTAGTACTGCTATTTTGTGAAAGGACTGTCTATACAGAACAGTACTTCGCAGCATTACTTGTTTCACACAAGGGAAGAACAACATACAGTAAGTCCTGCTAATTTTAACACACACTCCCAATATTGTTTACAGCGAGTGCGTTCAAACAATACTGTTCTTCAACAATGTGCTGTCCTCGTATGAAACTGTAATGGCCGTTATTGGTCGCTATTGGCTTATCTGCGTCCTTGTTTCGTCCTTGCTTTCACTGATAACGCCGCTCGCCAAGCTATCTCTTATATAATACCTGCCCACTCGATTAAAATCTTTTGTTAAAGGTCATATGTTCATATCAGCCGATGAAGTCGGTCTCGATTTTGACACTGGGCTCATTTGCACGGCCGATGATTGCCGAATGACAGATTCGGTTCAAGGATGAGGAATTTTGCGATTCTACAAGTTTTTTTTTTGTATTTCGTTAAATGTCAAGTAATTTTTGCTTTATCGATTTCGAAAAATGTAACAATTAATTGGATCACTTTATACTTATTGGATTATAATTAAGTACCAAAGATAGCAATTAAAATTTTATTAAAATTTATGTTTCTTCGTCGATATCGTTAACAATAAGAATGTTGCCATTTACTACAATAAACATTTTTAAATGCACAATACCTTTATTATTAAAAAATTATGGCCTAAGGAACAGCTACTTGCTTTTTTTTATTTTTAAATAGCATTTATATAAACTACATTATGTATGGTTAGCATACCCATACATGTCATGAGGAGGGATGAATCGCATGTAACAAGGAGAACGTTAGTTATGTGTTTGCAGGTACAGACATAGAAAGTAATAAGGTAGAGGTAGACATAGAAAAAGATGGATGGATTGCATGAAAGGTAACGTGTTCAAAAAGATGACTGAGATGACGTATGATAGAGTTATGTGGAGGACAAAAACCTGTTGCGCCGACCCTACGGGAGTAGGACAAGGAGAAAGATCATGACTATGTATGTGTGTAAAAAAAAAGTAAAAAATTATAGAAGATTAATAGATTGTATTGTTTTTATTCTTCAATGTTTTACAATATTGATAGATCGCAATTGTTAATGAAGGTACAAGTGTTTTAATAATATGCGTTTACTCTTCATGGCTCAAAAGTACGACCTAATCTAGTGCCTCAAAGTGATATGACGATGAAATATCATGTTATTGCGTTTCATTGTCTTAGTTTACTATAACTGGCTTAAAGTAGATAATTTAAACATATCTAATGACCTATTCCGTACAATTACGCTTTAAGATTTGACAGGAAGTGAAATTGATATTTTAAAATCGAAATAGATTCGGGATTTATCTTACATTTCTAATATTTATCTAACAATTTTTATATCTCACTTATTCGTACGAAAAACATACGAAAGAGCAACATTTTTGAGCTAACCTAAACGTATGATATGCTTTGTGCAATTACAATTTTATTTACACAATAACTTTTCAAGTAACAAATTTAACAAAAATATTAAAATTATATTTCCGATTATATTTCATTAAAATAACATTTCACAATTTTGATGTGCCAAACTTTATATTAATTTTTTATATTATATTTAACCAAATTTGTCATTATAAAAAAACTTTGGTAGCGTTTACGACTAAACGAGAGATTGACAACATTTTAACTGATACACTCCTCAATTTACTCGCAATATTTTACAATAAACAAAATTCTATTCTATACATACGTTAACATTAACTTCTATACAAAACACTGCAATTTCAGGAAGTCAATTGCAATCTTATTTAAGACGCCTTTTAATTAACGATACATCTAGGAAGGAACTAAACTCTACTAGTCCATTATCGCCGGAGTCTGTCATCTTAAATAGAGTAATTCTAATTTACTAATGTCATGATAATATTTAATGCATACGCAAATCGACGACGGCTAGCATAATAGACGAAACAGCGAAAAAACGATAAATCACAAAATTGTTCTCCATACAAGTGCACTGTTGTAATATTTGAAATCTGTGTAAATATAACCTCTCTTGTTTGTTTTAAGACAATTGCTGTTCTTTGCTATTATTTATACAAACTTATTCATACAATCAGTAATAATTACTAAAGAATTATTTACGTTACATACCAGAATATTTACGTTACTTTTACAAGAGCAAAGGACCGTTATCATTTCTGTCTTTTAATGCAGAAGAATAAACGTTAGAGCTTATCAATATAATGTCCCTATCCAAATGGCTGAGGCCACAGCGGCGGCGGTGGCGGCAGCGGGTATGCCGTCGGCTATGTGGATATGGCGAGAGGGGGGCGGTGCGCGGGGTGTGCGGGGTGCGCGCCGTGAGGAGATGACGCGGTCGGGCTCCTGGCCCCCGGCGAACAGGTCACCTTGCCCATAAAAGACCTAATGTCATCAAAATAAGCATCCTCTCCTCTTTCCGTGTCCGCCGAGCTCGGTGAATCTCCACCTTCCGCCTCGTGCTTCTTTAAGTGTCTGTCCAGATTCGTCTGTTGACCGAAACATCTGTCACATAAAGGACATCGGAAGGGACGTTCCTTGTTGTGTATGTTTCGCACGTGGCGCTGCAGGTTGGATGAAATTGAGAAAGACCTCTCGCAGTACTTGCACTTGTACGGTTGCTCGCCAGTGTGAGTTCTAAGATGTCGCGTCAAATTGGCGCTCCTAGGAAATACTTTGCCACAAAACTTGCAAGCGTATCTGTCTCGAAGTTTTCCCGTTCCTGCGCTTAATTCTCGAAACTTGGCATAAGCACTTGGTTGTCTATCTGGGCCGTCAGTGCCAAGAAGTGGGGATAAAAAATTGAACGGACTAGGAACGTACGGTGAGTGTGAAGTATTTAGAAGGGACTCAGAACCCGGATGGAAGGACGGAAATCGCGGGCGATACATAGCATCTAGAAGACTGTTGTTATGCTGAGGATGGACTGGCATGGGGAAAGCCAGCGGTGCGGATATCATTTGAGGCGGTGAATCTTCACGTTTTGGTTCGACCGCCTCTACATCAACGTCAGTTGTGTCATTTTCTGGTGTCTTGCTTTCTCGTTCTATCGGGCTTTCTGGAGGCGAATACGATTTAATCGATAAAGGTTCATCAACATCTAACTCACAATCTTTTTCGTTTGGCTTTTTTGTAACAGATAGGTCCAACGGTTGGTCACCTTGATCTATTTTAGCATCATCTTCGTTATCTGACAAAGAAGAACGTTTGTCAATGTTATCTACTACGTTCTTAGATAAATCTTTAGCTTCAGTAGGCGAAACCGATTTACTAGAAACGAGATCGTTATTATTTAGAGATAAGTTAAATGGTGAATTTTGTTTCAGGTCATCTCTTGCAAAAGGATTAAAAGAATTCATCGGTGCCTGTAGAGTCCTTACAGGTGAGGCACGCGGCTGTGAAGAAGATTCCTCTGCTGATGATAAAGATGGCTTTACATACAGTCCATGGGGTTGTGTGGGGGTAACCCTGTCAACATTTTCCTCCCGCTTAATAACAACAAAATCAGAATCTTTATTCCGTTTTACGTCATCAAGAGAAGTCGAGCTATCCATACTTTTCACAGACATTCTTTCGTCTTTTAGTTTCGCCAAGTTTGCGCTCATAGCCATATCGTGCTCCATTGCCAGTCGGGCTCCTTGCACATTAAATAATAAGGGATTTAAGAATTCAGGCGGACAAGCGGCGGCCGCAGCAGAGAACAGCGCTGGATAGTGAGCAAATGTGTTGTATGGTAAAGGTAAAGCTGGTCCCCGATACATGGGGAACGGATTAGTGTTATTCGGAGTATTCATTCCGACGTTTGGAAGTTGTGGGATTTGCGGCAGTCCTTGAGGCAGTTGTCCACGCAAGTTGACGTTGGCGGCTGAGGCTGTGTCGCAGAACCTCTTGTGTTTGGTGAGTGAGGCGTACGAGGTGAAGGACTGGCCGCACTTGCCGCACTCCACCAGCGCTCTGCACGCAGAGTGCATTCGTTTGTGACGGCACAAGTTGGAAAATTGAGTGTAAGCCTGAAAATAAAAAGAATTGATTATAAAAGTGAAATACTGGCATAAGTTAACAAATGCATTATCTCTCTCTTATAAGTGATTTATTTTTAACTGATGTCTCACCTTAAAGCAGACCTTGCACTGGAAGGGCTTGACGCTGGAGTGTATGTGGGTGTGTTGCTTCAGGCCGGAGGAGGTGGCGAAGGTCTTGCCGCACTCGGGGCAGGCGTGGCTGCGTGCGCCTACGTGCTGCGCGCGAATGTGGCGCTGCAGGTTGGAAGGATCGGTAAATACCTGAAATAACCAGGTTTCGATGCGCTTCATGCATTTAGTTCAGTAGATTTTTTCTATACTAAGTTTAAGTATAACTTAATAGCTCATAGCATCTCAGGATAACATCAGTTAGCAGTGGTAAAGACCATGATCATAATTTGCATGACAATTTATTCGTCTTTTTATTATCCTTCTGTCCTCTTTATATACTATTAATTTTATTTCATAATTAGTCATTTCTAATGTTTTAATTCTTTATGTAAGATATTGCTACTATAAGCCTGACTAACATTTCTATGTAGGGGTATCTTACCTTCGGACAGTTCTCGCAGGGATATTTCCTGATGTCTGTGTGAGCTAGGGCGCGGTGCCGCAGAAGCAAAGCGCGGCAGCTGTAGGCGCGGTTACACAGCTCGCAGTGGAACGCCGCAGCCGGCTGCGCGTGCGACTGGATCAGATGACGGTCAAGCCTGGAAAATAGGAAAATGTTGGTAAGACTATTGTCAAGATGCTATAAGTAATACAGACAGCAACAGCTACTGCAAATGTCACAGTCACAGCTATGACGTAGTACATTCCTTACTTTTTCCTTAATTGACTGGTATGACCAACAAAAAGGCAAAGTAATAGTTACAGCACTTCTTACAGTGCGATAAGTTATATTGGTTGTATAATTTTGTATATAATTGTAGTTCCTTTATCAATAGAAATGGAATAAAAAATCTAAGTATCATTTTGTTTAAGCATACTGGAAAATAACAGGACCATACGTTGACACGCCTACGTAAAGATATCACTCGCCAATGCATTATTCAAACACGTTCAGATTCACGTCGCAAATATTAGAATTAATTTTTGCAATAAATTTCAAATACACAAGTTTCACGAGTAAAGCAATCTCAGTACACGGAATTGATACTCGTCATTTTATGGCTTGTTCTACGTATTCAACTATCAGATCTGTTTCCAAAGACTCGTAAATATCGCATCAAGTACTAGTTTCGCTGTCATATACGTGTTATGAATGATGGAAAAGGGATCATTTCAAAAATGCTCTCGGTGACTCTCCTTGGCGGTAACTGGTCTCAAACACGCAACCCTAGTCGCCAACGGCGTTTTCTATCACTTCACCTGTCAAGATTCGTATAATCAGATTCCCATTACACACCAGCTTCATTGCCGGTTATGTATCGGTTGATTACGTATGCGCAATAGAAAGATGACAATCTAACTCGTTCAATACGATAGAGTCGCGGGTATCGGTGCAACAGTTGAGGCGTTTTCACTCTCGCGGTCGGCCGTTGCCATATCTTTTAATTAATCTGTGGAATAAAATCTACCGTCATAATGGTTCCGTCGCTAACATGTTGTTCATTCTTCCATTGCGTAGTTGAATTACTATACTTGATAATCAAAGCAGTGGGTAGTCCAGGAAGAGTTCGCTTCATTATAATACTGGCTGTACACTTTCATTTTTGTAACAGCGATGGTCCGATCGGATAAACATTATAATGACTTTAAACGGGTTAAGTGATCTACATATTTATATCATGTAATTTAAAAAATTGCAACCATTTTTATGTATACCATTAATGTAAATTCAAATTTAAAAAGTCAAATGACTAAACAGACATGTAACTTCATTAAATTATACATTTAATTGGAAACAAAAATATTAAAGACTAACAAATCGTCGTAAGATTTGCACATTTAGGATGACAGGTAACTCAGTTACACTGTCAACTATTAATTATCAATAATACCTTTTATAAGGTAGTAATTTCTATCTATGTACGCAATATAGAATGGGTATTTAGCCCCGGGGTGTCGCAGACCGGCATGTATCTCCGCCAGCGATCTTCAGAGCTTGTATTGCTTTTTCTGCATGTAACAACCTCACAACATCATCCAAGCAAACGTTTCGAACAAATATCAATTGTGTACAGTTTAATAGCGTATTGCGTAACAAAATTAAAGCGTTTCTTTTTTGTTTTTAAGACACGGCATTATAATTAAAATCATTTTTTTTATTTAATTACACTTCATTTGTTATTTCTAGTGCCGGTGTTTCAACGATTGATTTTATTTTCTTGTTTACATAACTAAACGGAATGCCGATTTAGTTTTCAAGACATTTTTTTATTAAGATATTTTTTTTTCTGAAATTTGATTTTATATTTTAAATCTGTATTTTTTATTAATATCTCTGTCGATTAAAACCTAAAGCTACATTCAGCAATAACACCTATATGTAGATATTAGCTAAGATGGATGGAACGGACGTTAGATTGGCTGTTACCCATCCGTTATATTAGACCCAGATTCATATCAAAAGGAAACGTGAACAGGTGCTATTTATTGAACAGCGACCTCGTATATATTCATTTATAAAAGTATTTAGTGTATTAAATATAAAACAAATTAAGAAATTCTTTGTAAAAAATATTCCATCAACAGACCAATATGTATCAATAAACGACCGAGAGTAACATATCATATCTTGCAAAACATTATCACCAAAAATGGAGACGAAACAGAAAAACTAAAAAACATTATGAATTATTTCACATCGGCAAGCAGACTTATATGGAATTTTACGATCTCTGCTAAGCTAAAAATTTCAACAAAACTTCACTTAAAATTAAAGCTCAGGGTATTAACAAAAATTATATCATTTTTGGTTGTGAGGTGTTATTACAAGTATTTAATGTAGCTCAGTTGCTGATTCTATTATTTTTAATAACATATTTTACTTATATGGTGTGGTCGCAGAAAAAGTTGATCGCGGTGATATATGAACAAGCGCTGATGTTTATTAACTGTGCAATTCAATCCTGGATACAGTAAGTATATAAATTGAACAAGAACATTCCACTCAATCTACCAATTACATTATCTAGCAAATGTTTACTTGCTAAATGTAATCAAAATGTTATATTACAATGCACTTTTGTTATTAAATAACAACATAAATGTGCAAAGACAACAGATTTAGGATTACAACAAGTGTTCTCCGCTTTAATATTTGCAAAAATGTGTTTTTTTATCAGTCTATGTATAAAACATTTTAAATATGTCTTTCGCCAGTAAAAAAAAATCTTGAAAGTTTGAGAAACGCTGGAAACGACATCCGTGAAACTGCAAATCCTAACAATGTACGTGTTGACTGATAACATCCAATGAACAAGTTCAGTTTAGTGCTGGGCCGTTTGACTCCACCTACGCGAGCCACTGTCACGACCCGGCGCCAAGAGACAAAGCTTTCGGAATACAATTGAGACTGTCGTCGTCTCGTTGATTTACATCTTGCATTATGAACAACGAAACATATTTTATATCTAAAGTTATTCCCTTTTAAAAGTGAATTAAGCTCTAATAGAAATGAATTCTCCAAAGCTTCTATTAAAATATGCAATTAATAGTTATGTAAATAATGATAAAAATAAACAAATTCCTTTCAAAATTATCGTCATCAATTCGATCTTTAAGATTTTTTAATCCATAACAATAACTTCTGAATTCAAGTTTTAAATATGCAAAAATTTTTAAACGAATTATTCAAGCGAGACATAGATTTAGAGCCTCCATCTGACAGTTCAGATATAAGCAAGCAGCAATATTTCAGATCTATACATAGATAACAATTCTTTATATTATACAACTGATTCATTTTAAATGCCAGAGCAGAGTATTTAACATTATAAAAACTTTACTATTTTAATAGTACTTTAACTTCGTAATAAAATAGATTTGTTGAATAATAATGTACGTGAATCAGGAATTCCAGTTATTTTGCGTTGACTGCAGCGGACAAGATATCTGTTTAATTCACGGGTTGATAGCTACAAAGCTTGATTGTGACAATGTAACAGAACAATTAAAGATTGTTATTTGATCGACCCTACATCGAATGCCGACTTCTTCAAGTCAGCGATGTAGACCCGACTATTTATTTTTACGCCAGACTTCTAATAATTGCCACAATAAAGTGTCACTTATTAACTCTTAGTGTTTAGTACAAAAAATGTTTTTGTTTATAATGTTAATCTTTAAGGTAATGGTTTTATTATAACTAGATTTGTGCCTATTTGTTTATTTGAATAGAACAAAAAAATAATCGACGAATAAACAATAATTCATTACTGAATGTCGTTGCTATATTCAATAATAGTGATGGAACGATAGCGAGGATACGTTAAAACTGTGCATGTCGATAATCGCGATGGTTTGCATTATTGATGGGCCCGACGCTACTTTAATAGAAAATGATGACACACCATTATGACCCCACGTGTCTATAACATATAAAACATGTTTGTTTGCTAGTGTATAAATTTCAATCTTGTCATTACAAAATGTGGCTGGCAGCTTAGAAATCTGACGGCAGATGTGACGTCGCGTGCCCGCGAGCCGCCACGTAACAAATCATCGACGTACATGTTATCGAACGAGCACATCTCTAGCACTAAATAAATCGTTCGACCGCTCCTCCGAATCGTATTAATGGCAAGAGGTTAATGGTTCTGAAGACGTTTGAAATTGATCGACTTCTGCAGTTTGCGCCGGCTCACTTCAATGGTATGCTTAGATAAGAGACGCAGTTGCCAAATGACTGATTCGAATTTAATTCGAGAACGTAGTCAATCCGAAATGTTAATGCATACTAATATGTCTTTAAAGATAAAACGTCTATATAAAATGTTACTTACGAACTTCAATTTCTAAACGAGTTACACTAACAAAATATTTACGAAACAACATGAAAATAGATTAGTACTTGAATAGATAGTCACATTTTGTAAACAGATTGGGAGTAATTAATAAAATGATACGACATCAAATGTTTTTATAGTAAACAAATAGACCGCACAAGTCGCTTTTCTTTCGAATTAAAGATACATTACATTCTTTAGATCAGTTTACAAATCATAACCCAAAAAAAAAACCTTATTCCTAGGAATTCACGGAAAGAAGAGTCAGAACAATGTTAGTGGCGAATTCCTGTTAAAATTTTTGACAGTTTATAAATCTTCTACTAACTATTTGTCTGATGCGGCTATAAGTGTCTACGTAGTGATCAGTACATGAGGTTTAATAAAAGGATGGTGTACTTACACATCGATGTTCGGAAAAGGAGAGTCGCAGAAGGAACAACGCGGCTCTACGTCCTCTCTTTCTTCTTCCTCGGTGGAGTGGGAGACTGTGCTGACTGAGTTCAGGTTCGGACTCTCACTGCCTGAAACAACCGTACATATATTATTAATATTTTGAAAAGTTACTAAGTTACATAGAGATGTAAGTACAAAGTCTATACTATTTCTAACTATTACCATTTATAAGGATTCGAGATAAGTAACTAATTATTAAGCAACCGATATGATTGTTGTTGTTTATTCGACATAAATATCAGATATTTACAATTCCATTTTTCTTAATACGACTCCGGATCTATTTTTATCCGACACACATATGATTTCATGGCCAAATCCTATCTCAATATCTTTTATTAGCACTGTGCTTATTACAAAAATAAAAAAAAAAAACAACAACTTTGTTTATCTTGAGTATATTAATAGCATTTAAATTGGCGTAAATAAATCAGAACACCGTTTACGATAAAAATTAAGATAAACATCATATGCAATGCCTCTCACTGCAAAATAAACCTCCCACTCGATTCCTTCATAATTACACGACAAAAGTTTTACCCAGTTCACACAGTAAATGTGCATGATAATCTAGAGTGAACAATTTGGCGTAGAATTGTGAAATGAATACGAGTTCATATCTCCCCGTGTACGTCAGTTTATGATCGGACGATCACGAACGGAGCGTCGGAAGTATGGAGCGTTTTACATTGACACATGCAGAATTAATTCAAGTCACGACGAGTGGAGCCACGCCTCGAGCATTGTCTAACGAGCCCCGCATCCGTGATACGGACAGACTGATATACCACGCACTGATAACATCTAGTCAAGTCCATAATTAGCTTCAATATAATATCTAATTACGTTACAAAGTCTTGAGTTAATTATTTCAATGTAGATTATAAAATTGGTTAGAAAAACTGGAATAATATAATTGACAGATCAAATTACACATACAAAAAATTAATTAGATTAAAAAATAATAATTTAATTTAAGAATATAAATTTACACAAATCCGAAAAATTAGTACTCACCTGAAACGAAAACAAGAAAAGTTTCTAAAAGTATCTATTCAATTTCAATAAATAATAATAATAAACCCTTAGTACTTGTAGACAACTAAGCTATCACTGATTTTAAATGTATATTACAGGTTTCCTGATGCTCGAAGATGAGAATGAGGAATAGAGCATAGGTGAACCGATCGTTATGTGACGTCAGGTAAGGACTGAAGTGTTTTGTTACAAATGATCAGGGGGCATGTCACACCCCCACCCCACCTGCACGACACGAGGGTTAATATGCTCACTTGACCTGACATTTGCATTGAATATACAAAAATTATCAATCCATAACGAACCCCGAAATCACCAAAATTACTTTTGATTAAATGTTTAACCTTACCATAAAACTATTTAAACAAAAAGCAGACGAACTAACACGTAAATGACTTCTAGAAAAAAAATGATAATATGGGATATCTAGTTCTTAGTAATTTTTTTAATCAAACTCTTGGTTATTTTTTGGATCATTATGAAAATAGAAATCTTAGGAAACTGGAAATTAGAGAGCGACTAAATCCAACCCAGCGAATACGATCTTCAAATCACCATTTCAAGTACCTTATTCAGTGATTATTATTAAGATAAATTCAAAGTAGGATTTACAAATTTGATAAAAAAATCGTAGATCAGATTAAGGTACTTTAACTTGTCTACAAATAAATTTCCTACTTCTCGAATAAAGGTCATGAAAATATTAATTGTAACAATAAACTTAGTTAAATTAACTTTATTGCTTCTGATATGATTGCATGTAAGGCCGACGATAAAAAATCCACCAAATTATGACTCCATAGTCTTTCAAACATTCTACACGCACGAGAACAATTAAACGTTGATAGGTTGTGGATTCGTGCAAATAAAAAAGATTTTAAATGCGCGACAGACATGCTTACCCTAATTTTGACTATTACTTCATTATAAAAGCTTACAATTTTACGATCTACTTAACACGATTAACACAAATAGATAAAAACTAAGTCACAAAAAAAGCACGCAATACAAAATTATCGATTTTAATGTGGTACTTTAAGTAGATGATTTTAATGGACGTCATAAAAACAGAAGACAAAAGGTCTCTCAACGTCAAACCATATTTTAAACCAAAAAAGCTTTTTAGTTCATAATCATACTAAGATAGTTTAGTTAGGTTATAAAATTTAAAAAAATTGTGTCTTAAATTTTGACCGTTAAACAATTATTTAATTTTACAGCGACATTACGCGCGGGCGTTAAGTTTTCCCACGGCGTCAACAGATGACGCGCGGGCGCGGCCACCGTGACGGTGGTATACCGATCTTTATAACCCCTCGACACTTCACCTGTTGCCGTTAACTTATTTGCATCTTTTAAATTGATAGAACTGACATCGCATGACCACGCAACGCAATTGTAATATAAATGATAGCTTATAATTTATATTTGTTAACTTCGGAACAATCCTGGTTGACTTCTCTCGTCCCTACATCCATATATTTACGCTTGTATACTTGTCAGTTAAGGTGGCTCACTTTTTTCATTTGGCTTAACCTTTCATACAAGAGGTAGTTCATATGCAGTTATATATTCTAGGGGCATATTAATATATTTAAGTTATCTGTTTTCCCGCAGTATCCTGACAGCGCTCAAGGCGGTTGCAAGTTGCAAAGCATCAGGTGCGTGTCCGTCCTCGCAGAGCCGTACCGTTACGCCCGCCGGACGCAATCCCTACACACCGGCACCGGTAGTATCTGATCCGCTTTTATATTCCAGATATAATAATATGTACTATTTGTTTTGAAATAAACTAAGAGCTTTTAACTGTAAAATAAAAGAAGAACACAAGACGAAGAATCGATCCAAATGCGTCTAAAATTACACGTAACGGTAAAAGTATTTTTGTTTTGCAGGAATTTTATTCCGATGGAAGCTGACACTGGAATATACAACTTCATAAGTGTGAATAAAAGATAAATAAAAGTAAAGCTACGATTGTTCATAAATTATTTAATTTAGCATCAAATCAAGATAAGACTATATCCGACTAATCTGCGAATAAAAAGCGAGACACGCGTCCCTGTAGCAGATTTAACCCTTTCGCTGCGACCGGGGACATTAAATTGAAATATTTCAATTTTATTGTCCGTAATATTTATTTGATTGTTAAATAAATACGCGATGTGGGATGCAGTGTGATTGTGTTCGGTTAAATGGGGGCTGCGACTATTGTTGTCGGTTAATTTTTTGATTAATCATTCCTTTTCATCGGCGGGGAATCGTCGCTAATCTGTGACGCTTACATTTTGTGCAATAATTTTAGTTTTGAAATAGTTAGTTTTATTTCACATATATCTTAGTTTATTTTTAAATACTTTATTCGTGGTTAGGATAGTGATTTATTAAAAATGAAGATGACTTTGTACTTTCTATAAGTTAGTTATATTTGGTGGAAAAGTTGACTCTTGATTACAACTTTACGCCATAGAGTATTGAATATATTAGTATATATCCAATACTCTATGACGGATATTCAAATAACTGGGTAGAATATACCCTTACTAAATGATTACATTCATACTTTCTATCTGGGTTGTGGTTAATGAAGTAAAAAGATTTGCATGTAATTAAGATAGAATCATACTGATATTTGTGAATTTCAATTGTATTGTACAATAGTGCAGTGCAACAATGGCGCATGCGTGTCGCGCGACAAAGCAACGTCATCAATTTTAATCTGTGCGACAATTGCTCGATGACAAATGTCAGAACGGCAGTCATTCATTACGCGCGGACGCACGCGGCCACTCACAAAAAAAGTACGACTATTAAAGGGTTAACTTTACGATGATATTGTTATTGCGTATGACGTGGATTATAACTTTTCGATGTTATTAAAACATGCTATTTTCATATCTGTTGGTACTGATGACAAGGGACTCTGAGTATTATACCTAAATCTGACGATTTGAAAATAGAAAATAATATTGATGCTGTTTTGTTTTTGTGCTATTTTAAATTTAACTAACAATCGGATTTAAAAGATTCAGATTTTTTACAAAGATTCAATGTAACGTTTAAAGTCCTTTTAATATTATATCTTTACATGAGAATCTAATTGCCGGTTTCTTTTCAATCAATTCAATAAAAATAAAAACGATTCGAACTTTATCAAAATTACTGGCAGCAATTAGTCTTACATCGTAAACACATTGCAAAAATAAGTAACCTGTCCGATATAACTAAAAAAACAAGTAGCCCTAATCGAAAAATTAACGAATAAACTAAATTAAATAGAAAACAAAAATTAATCATTCGCTATCAGACCGCCGCCAAAGCTTTTACCTCCGAACCGCGGCGTTATCTCAAACTCGTGGCATTTAATTTATTAATCCTTTAGCAAAAACTGCGTTATCGAATTGTCCAATGAAATCAGGGTCTAAAGACCTCATCAATCAAAACTTGCACAATCCAACCCATAGCTTTCTGACAAACATTTGTATGAAACGATTGCAAATCGATTCTAATTACGAACAATATTTGAGAGTCATTGTTGAAGTTGTGTTGGATCATCATGCAGCTGATTGTAGATTACAATTGCGTGGGTGTTCAACAAATTGACGTATAATAATAACACTAACAGTAACTATTATTGCTATTAAAAATATAGGCTGACGTTTAATTCTTTTTTAAAGTGTTAACAAAGAGTAGTAGAGAAAGAGAATATACAACGCGCCAGAACGCGGCTAATTAGTGCCAGGAATTTGGAACTAAAAATTTTATCAGCTTAATACTGCTCTTAGAATCATTATTAATAAGTAGTCTTGTCTAGTCGCCGAATAACAAATATCTATGGCAGTTAGTTAATAAAAATGCATTTTTAATTAACCTTATTGAGTTAACTTTGGGTTAAAATGCGTAATGTGGGGTATATGTTTGTAATTATATATAATTCGATTCGCATAAATCACGCCTGCGCCTGTGCCGGCTGCGCTCGCAACGGAAGTGCTACAGGAAACACTGAAGACCCCATATGTCACCGATAAGTGCACTACTAGATAGGGCATGAACTATTTACTTTATCAATGTACTAAAAAAGTATTGAATATTATTAATGTAATTGATAGAGAATCTTTCTTTTTTTCTCAAATAAAATAACATTTATAAGTTAACGAAGTTATGTATTAATAATTTGCATGCGTCATTTCTGTTAACACTGATTTTTTCTATGCTATCATCGAGAAGTTTTCAGTAACATAAAATTCAACTAGACACTTCTAGATAAAATTGAATTTGCAACACTCCGTCACCCTCACAAAAATAGAAGCATATGCGTTATTTTTCACGTCGTGCGTCGCACGTCCCGATTTATCTAAATTAAACATCGCATGCTCGCGTGGCCCCGGTGTGTCCGCGCCCTGTGATTGTCAACTATATAGAGTGATTTAAAAAAAAGGGTTCGCGACTGTACTTGACAGCTTTTCAATCAATACTATGGAAATAAACTTTTGATAACCTCGTTAATCTATTGAAAAGATTTAATAATCAAGATAATATTTTATATTTAATATAATAGTCGCTTTTATAAATAACACAATAATTTTTTTCTTTAACATAAAGAAAGTCTCTAATTCCCTGACACTGACCTTACATTGACAAAAAAAAAACAATTTTATTTGTTATTAAACGCGCTTAATTAAATCTTTTAATTACGAAACTCTAATGCAAAATGTGTTCGTGACATTCACTAAAACAACAATCTCAAGACTAATTGACAAATCTGTGTAGACAGATTTAAACTAGCAATCTGAGGCGAAACGAACCTCTCACTCCCCTGTGACCGGAACATGACAATATTAAATTGTCAGAATGATTTAAGTAAAACCAAACATTACACTGGGACATTGCGATCTGTGATTTAGCATTACAGATACGATCGCCAAGGCTACGTATTTGCATTTATGCATTCCCAGCATTCAATTCAATCTATTGAGTTCATATCTTCTGTAAATAACTATGTTGTGCACCTGTTATCGAGTGATTAACTACAGCATTGAGACGTATTTTATATAAAACTGGCAGTTCCCCGCGACTGTGTCTACGTGAAATTAAGAAATAATAAAGAAATAGAGTACATGTTTATATATATACCTCACATATAAACCTTTCTAACAGGGATTTTTTTTTAAATCTGCCCAGTAGTTTTTGAGTTACTTCAATACATATAAAATACAAATCTTTACTATTTATAATATTAGTATAGATATTGAAATTGTCTTCTAATGTAGGAATGTCAATGCTATAGAAAAAAAAATACATGTACTAATAAAACATAAGCGAATTCATTTTTAAATTATTTACACTTATACCGTAGGTACTATTTATATTATATATTACGTTTTAGGTTTTTTTAATTTCGGACGTGAGACATTCTGATCAAATATTTTAGCGATTAAAAAGTAATATAAGAAGCAATAAGAATATTAAATCAAAAACAAAAGTCATCAACAAGAGCAACCTGTATATAGATAATAGCGTCACAATAAGGCCGGAGTCACACGTTCCGGCAGAGGGCAGGTGAGGCAGGTGACTCCAATTAACCGGCCGTCGGACCGTGGCGCACGCGTCACCGTGATTACATTGGTATACACCCCGCTTTCCTCAATTCTCAAAAGTCACACTCACAAATATGAGATTTTATGAAAAATATTAGACAAAAAAGGAAAGAAACGTGGGAACTTAGAAATTTGTACTAATAAGTAAAAAAGCAATGAGCAAGAATGCTAAAAAGTTATGCGCCATTAATGTAAATATTGAAAATTTTATCCAAAATATTTACTCCCTAAGTTTAATGGCGTGAAAATATATAGCCTAAAGCTTGACTTAAGTACAGGGCTTTTAATAATAAAAAAAAGAATTGCACAAAAATATGCAGTAATTGCTGACATCTTAGGCAACAAATTTTATTTTTTATTATAATTATACATAATTACAATTAATGCTTTCAAGCGCATTGTCAGGTAAACATTTGTACTTTTATGTTAAATTCCTGTAAGGCACATGTTTTGTTTGTACTCATGATTTTTTTACTTACCAACAGCAGCTAACACGTCTTGCAAAGGCAGCGGTGTGCGAGGTCCCAGCAATAGCTCCTTTCCAGCTGAGATATCTTGCGTCACTTTATACCAGATCTGGAAAACAGATAAACCATTTTATAGATTGTGAAAAAACGAATAATCTAAAGTGATTATTAAACAAGGAATATTGGCCATATGTAAGTAACAGCAACATTATTTATGTGAAAAAGAAAATTACTTTTATCTGTTTTTTTAATTAACTTTTTAATGATTTCATTAAAATTTTATTTTATAATGACATATTATTAATTAGTAGGTAAATACCATAACGGGAAATATCATATTAGTTAAAGAAAGGTCTATTTTTGATTTTGATTTTCATCCAAAATAAAAAAACGTACCAAATTTTTAATAGAACAGCAAACATCGTCATACCACTCGTGTGTGTCTCAGCAATTGTAAACGCAAATATAAGTCGTCTCGTGTTTTATACTTTTAAAATGCTACGTAATTTACGCGGAAAAGAATTTCCTGATCGCTTTCAATACACCGAAGCTTTGGAATATCCGGCTACAGTTTGACGTAATGGTGAAAAATTGAATCGAGACAACTTACTCTTACAAAGGAATTTATCTTTTATCTTTCATTCTGAATTCTATAAAACAAGAATATGACGAGAAATCTGATAATAATTAAAACGTTTTAATGAAGTTCAGGAATGCTAACAGCCGCCCGATTTCTCATATAATACTAAATTTATCATAGGAATTGCCTTAGTCACTAATAACTGAGTTTTTTTTTAATATTAAAAAATCAGCAATTGTATATCACACAGGGCAAATATCAAATAGCTTTTAACCTCATAAGGGGCATGAATCTAATCATTGCATCTGTTCGCTCCCCTAACATTGACCGGAAGTGGGTCACAGTTGTTCAGGCGAGCGCCGATTTTCTGTCACCGGAAGTTGCCAACGTTCCACATTCAAATTTCATTGGGGGTAGTGACACAAAGACGGTATACGAATATAATGGGGTTGTTGCGATAATGATTTGTTGATCTTTTTTGTGGAATGGTGTAATTATAAAAAAGTTTTTGCTTTAAAATAATCCACGTAGCTTATTCGAAATATTCATTAAAATTTCGTATTTAATCCTTACTTGTCCTGCGATCATAAGGTGCTGCACGTTGACGTCTTGTGGGTAGTTAACAGCGCGGCGCACCAGCTTAAGCCAGTTGCTTCTGTCGCCGGAGCCATCCAACCAGCCACGGAACCCATTCTTGCCCAGGACCTAGAAAAAAAATGTTGTTATGCTTTAAATTATAAAACTTGTGGGAAAAAATAAGACCTAAACTTTACTGAATATTAAAGTTTTCATATTAAGTAAAGTTTAGTTTAGAATAAATTAATCTAATTATTTAAAACAAATGAGAAATTATTTAGATACGTTCGATTTATACATTGTTTTCTCATGTATGAAAGCGCCATCTATGTAACAGCACAGTAACGACTACAATGTCGGTAATATTTACAACTGGCCCTTGTGAATTTTATAACCAAAAACCTGTAAATTCCAATTTAAGATTAAATAGAAAAAAACTTTCATTTTAAAGCAAACTCAGCGCTCTATGCTAAAAAGCTATTACAAAACAGATACTTTTTTTAGTTACATGGTAAAAATATTTTTATAGAAAATGGTTATAAATTTGTTGGTAAAAAATACCACATATTAAAAAAACAATTACATAGCAGACAAACAAATCATAATTAAAATTGATTATAAATCGAATTCTATCAAACTATGCGATAGTAGCGCCATCTAATTTATCACATTAACATTAAACTGGACAGAGGAACGCCGGTTGACAATAGATGGCGCTATTAGTCTCCGTCAAGATGCAGCGGGGTCGTCGCAGCTTGACCATTTATCATTTTGGCCCCCATGATAATTTAATTTTCATACTAAGTGTTAGGGTATTAATCACCTTTATTTATAGGGTAGAAAAAGTTTACACATTACAGGCCTTCTTTTTAAAAGTTATTCCTTATCACTGAAGCAGTTTTCATGAAAAATTCATACGAAAACATTTCTTTTTTTTATGCTACAAATTATTGCGAATTACGGAGCATAAAAATATTAAAGTCAGATTAACAATTTAAACATCAAAACATTCAAATTGCCAAAATACTTTTAGTTACAAATTCTTTTTCACAAAAAATAATCTACAGAGGAATAATGTAGGAATAATTTCACCGCAATTTTATGATAGAAACATAAAACAACAGGGTTTTATACCATTAAGGAGTATAATTCAAACGAGGGCTGGACTAACATACAATTTAGTTAGACACTACAAACTCCCTTCAGACAACAATCGATTGAGTCATAATACTCAATAACGAAGTTTGTTTTACGAAGATGTGTACTTAACTGATACGAGGGTTCCAAGTCTATAATTTACCACTAAATTGATGCTATAAAAGTGATATATTACAAGCAAATAGCGCTACTAACGAATCGATTGACTTATGGTCGGTTTCCCAATTACATTTAATCATTCATTAGTGTTTTTGGTTCGATATATTCATAAAATGAGTTTCCGAACTGTGTAACTTGAGTTTATTCGATTGAGACATAGGTCATTCTAACGCTATAAGATCGCTATGTAATGACAAAATAAGAAACTTCAGAAACCCAGCATTAGTTTAAAAGCAGACGTCATGCCATATTCCCTAGGTTTTAAATATTTAAAAACTCTCTTAGTGCCAACGCCAACTCTGTTTCTCAGAGTGCTAGTTAGAAATTTATATCCTTATGCTAATGTACTTTTTAGAGTCTTGATTACAAAAGTATTGGACTCAGTTATACGATTTTTTCAAGGGAATGTCATAGTAATGAAATTATGCATACTGTAATATTGCTTATATTAATCTTATTAATATTATAAATGTAAAAGTTTAAATTACAAATGTTTGTTAGAGTTATCCTAAACTGCTAAACGGATCTCGGATGAAATTTAGTATAGATGTAGAGGATAATCTGAAAGAACACATACTTACTTTTATATTTTCTTCAATACAACGCGGGCAGCTTTTAATTTTGTATATCGTTAAATTTCCATAAATCAAATACCACATTTACTTAAACGGTACAAAGTATCACATTAATTCCGGAAACCTTAGCGGTACTAAGGGAGCGACAGCGATAAAGAAAATCGCCAAAAAAGCGATATAAAAAACATCTGTTGCACAATAGAAGTAACTTAACAAGTATGGATTAATCAAAGCGAGTCGGGAAGCCCTCCTCACGCGTCACCGACAAGCCTTTCCGCGGCATTTATCACGTTATTAAAACTAAGTCGGGTGCGTTCAGTAAAAAAGATAATTATCTTAAATCGGGACCCCTTAGTCTTGGATAGGGTTGTCAATTGGACTACACTTTTACTTTTGCAGAATTTACCTTAGAAATGTTATTTTTAAATGATTTTATATACTTAGTGTTGAAAGTATTATAAGTTAGCCTTTCGCATTAAAGTAATAGCCACACAGACATTTTAATATTTCTAATTTGATATAAGAAAATTTAAATTAAAACCGATAATAATTTACAACTACAGTTTCACCGCAATCTATCCAAATCGCCTTTTTATTCAGTGGAGAATATCTGTTTTTTTTTAATAAGAATAGTTAATAAATTTTATAGTTGTAAAGTACACAAGAAATAGGCAACCCTAGCACACACGGGCGATGAGTTGGCGAGTGCCGGCGGCATCTGTGAGCCATCAGTCATCGATGAACGGTGCCCGGTCAAGGATGCGAATTGCCCGGACACTTGTTACAGTCACCCCCAGGGTGGTAACCCCCACCCCCACCGTGAAATATGATTGCTGGTTTGTCCGTGACAAATATCGATGGTCCAAACATAGATTACATAATCGTTATTGTCATTTCCGTTTAATTATCCATAATATTTTCGGAAAATCCAAGAAAATACAAGATTATCAAATTGGATGGAATGAATAAATTATTATTACAAAATACGATAAAACGATAATATGCCTTATTAAAGTAATTTAAGATTAAATTTATTTAATAAATATTATCTGTATTTTTAATTCGAGGAAAAAGTAATTTGCATTCGAGAAACAAAAGATAAACATTATCTTATTGTCGTAATGCAGGGTTTATACATTAATAATCGTAATTAACAACCACTAAAGAAATCCCTTAGAAACTATTAAATACAAGTACGAACTATAAAACTGAGATAACCATAAAATGTCTGAGTACAAGTATGAACATTTCATAAAAATGTTTACAACAAAAAAACACAGAATCATTACGTCACTGTGACCTCATAAATGTTTTCCCCGGTATACTTGAAGGTGTTGCCGCACTAAAATATTGTCACAGTAAAAAAGGAAAGTTAGTGAAGCCGTTAATCATCCGGCTTACGGCACAACCGCACCAGATTATTATAAAAACCGCAGCTGTAATTTAAACGTACTGCGGCGGATCTCATATTTTCACTCCGCACGGAGATCGCAATTTCCCGGAATACTCGGAAAAGCTACAAATGTTCGCGACTCGTTCTCGCTGGAAAATTACATTTCATAAATTTTAGTGATGCCCCTCGTGGTTGAGCTTTCAAGTTGTTATCGACAAAATTATATTTAATTTTCTAGTTAAATGTAATTTAGCACAAGATGTTATTTTATCTTAAGTTGTGTTTTTTACAGTAAATCTTTACTAAAACTTTAATTTCTATGAAAAAAAAATATATTCTTCAACGGCGGAAAGATTAAAACTGTGAATTTCCTCATTATGTGTAACAAAATAAATCAACATTTTTAAGTTTACGTTCATAAGTGATTGATTTGATTGTAATTTTCACTTAGAAATGTAATGCAATAATGAATAGTTGTATTATTAAAATATGTTTACTCGTGTAGTAACAACATTAGAACATTTTACAACGTGTAATCAAATTTTAATAGAAATATCGATAGCTTTTACCGTTGGAATGTAGGAGCAGCACTATTCGGAAGTGAAGAGCGTTTGGCAGCGGCGCAGCGAGCACGCGTCGTTGAGCGCATCACACGACTCGTTTCACAAGATAACAATTTGTGTGCGCGCTTATTTACCCGTACCGCCAGCGCCGCACGCTGCGCGAAATTGGATCCCCCAGATATATAACCTTATATACAAAAGACCTAAATCTCTACGTTTATCAGCTTCATTATATACATGTTATATTTTAGGACACTAGAAATATAGAACTTTGTAAGCATGTTTATTTCATTTTCTATTCTGACATTGTAATACGGAATATATAATACATAAAAAGGTTAAAGTACAATAAAAATTATCAAACTTTACTACGCGAATTAGGAGCCATGCTTTTGTCATTTTAATTTCTAGTTTGACTGTCTTAAAGAATTTAGATACATGTTTCCTGCAAAAAAACCCCACCTAATTACCCTAACAAATCACTTTACTGAACGTTTCCGTCGGAATAATTAGAAAAATTTCCGCTGTCCGTAAAAAACATGAAAAAATGCGACTTTCTCTACATTTTTCCGTACTGACATTTGAACGCGTGTTCTGCGGAGGGACGTTTCCTTGACTTGTCTTTGTTTATCAGCTCCGGAAAACTATTACTTCCGGACCTGTCCGCGGAAAATCGCCCGCACTTTTATGGGGCTTTTTTAATGACGCGATTTAATTTATCTTTCATGCAAAGTCGTAATAGATTAACAATCAAATGAGATTAAAAGTTATATAATCTGTAATAAATTTTTATAATCTTAATTATTTAAATGATTACCGTTTGAACTTCAAAGTATGATAAATCACGTAGTACTACCTGTAATTTGAAGTATTTAACCCTTTGTTCTACTATAGTTCAACTAATTTTTATGGCTAGCAAGCAGTCAAAGTCAAGATATCGAACTAAAAGATATGTATAGCGAATTATCCAAGCTGCACATCAAAGGTTTGGAATGAATTTGTATGAGAAATATTTCAACGTTTACGGTCCGTAACTGTCACACGCGTTCATAAATTATCGCGAATCGTGAATAGGATATCACAGTGCATCGAAGTCACAGTATCCTGAACAAATCATCGAGAAATTAGTCAACAAGCGTACGGTCACGTTTCGACCATTAACCGGAGACAAAACGGCCTAATTCCTCGCGCGACAACATGTCCACGAACTTGCTATCATTGCGCAAAAAAATCAACAAACGGTAACACAATGCATTCAAATTTCTTTCAGTTATTGGAAAC